CATAATACATACTATACAGCACTTCTATTCACATTTCAACATTCAATGATCACTGCACAGTCTGATTGATTAAACTAAGTATTTTCCTGTTAACCTTTTGACCACTAGTTCCCTCTTTTCATCACAAATTCACAAAATAGTCCTGTTTATATATAGTCTGTACTTTCCTTCCGAAAATTGGGACAAAAATTTTGTCTGTTGGCTCCAAAATTAGGGTTCATTTCTAGAAATATTGAAGAATATAAGAAACAAATTTTCTTGATAAAGTTTGGTGGTAAAAAGGTTAATGAATCAGTGCTGAGCAATACAAGAATTAGAAGAAAATTTAAAGTGCTTTGCTCCAAGACTTTTTCGTGAACGGAAATTGCACGAGATTAGTGTACATCAGCTATATCATATCGGTATACGCTTGAATTACCATGTCCATAGCGAGAGCGATGACAATAGTTACCTGTTCCTTCAATAAAGAAGTGACTTCTTCTCCCTCTGTGAAGTTCAAGCTTAAAGGTTGCTGGACAAGTTTACCATATTCAAGAGTACAAATTAGAAATTCTGCCTTTTCATGTTTCACCATGATGGACACCAATGGACTACTAAGTTTCTTGACATCTGTCAACAGAAGAAAACTTACTGATAAGAACATGCAATGTCCGCGTAAAAAAAAAAAACTAAAAAGTTTAGTTGCAGATTTACAACCACACATGTTATCAAATTGAAGATGTATAATTTTGTTTATAGTAATATAGTTGAAACATAAACATGTCAGAAGTATGAATCCAGAAGATAATGCTTGATTATGATGATTTTTTTTAACATTAAAATGATTGACATCTTGTATCTGATCGTCAAACGAGTACTTGTCCATATTGAGAAATATTATTCTGGAACAGCATTAATTAAAACAAAATGGCCGCCAGTCAGCCATTTTGAATCCGATCTGAAAAGTAAAATGATGTGCATCAGGAACCAATAATCTCTAATGTATGTACCAAGTTTGATCAAAATCCATCCATAAACACCAAGATCCAGTTCTGGAATGTCAAAAATGCTTGATTTTTGATGACTGGCATTTGGCCATTTTAAATCAGATAGTCAAACCAATATATCTATGTCATGATGTATAATGAATATATAAAATTTGATCATAATCAGTCAAAACTTGGCAGAGGTATGGCACTAGAACTGCATTTATGAAAACAACCAGCTATTTTAAATTGGATCTGAAAAATAAAAATGTGCATCAAGGTCTCATAATGTCCAATGTATGTACCAAGTTTAAACAAAATACATCCATAAATGCTTGATTTTGATGATTTTTTAGCACAAAAATGGCCACCATTCTGCCATCTTGAATGAGATTGTGAAAGTGATGTGCATATGTATAATATTATGTATGATGTATGTGTGAAGTTTGATTGACACATGCACGAACACACGGACGCACAAAGGTCAAAATATAAGTCTCTGTTTTCGGTGTCTAAACGGGGACTAATAAGAAGTGGGCATATGCCAGAGGATCGCCTCAGAAAACATTGTGACTATGTTACCTTCTTGAAAAATTGTCCAAATGACAATTTCCATTCATCATGCCGGATTAAGGGAAATATTACGTCTTTGACTTTAAGGGTGGCGTCATAATTGCACCTTCACAGTAGAGAAACAAAAATGTTCACAAAAAATATTTTATTACAATATTATTCACATATATTTACAATCTAAAAGTTCAAAAGTGATTAGGATCAGTGGGAAAATAGCGAGTCTAGGACAAGATCTTCATTATTGTCCTCGTCATGGAATGTTTATAAACGTACACAAACTCCAAAGCAATTTCCGCCATGATGGTTTTGTGTATTTGACCTGAAACAACATCTTTTGACCCGACAGCGTATTTTTGCAACAAAGTGCAGAAGTAATTATCAGTAATTGCAACATTTGGTTCATTGTGAGTAAAAACAGAGCAAAGAGTGCAAACCACGTTGTGCTGCTCGCCATGCATTGTGAAAATTACTCGTTTTTCTCGTAAAAGCACAAACCGAATAGCCCTTTTCAGGTCCACCAAACACTCGTACAAAAGAGAGCTACCATACCATTATTGATTTATCATGCAATACAACTTATTACATGCATATAAACAACATCAACAACTCAAGATTCAACCAATTATCAAAGACCTCAATTCGTTAAATGTCTAAAAATAAGGGGATGGCTCATACTGGCTTATATGACTGGGAAAGTATGGACCGTTAAAGTCAAGAAGTGATGCAATAATGAGAAACAAAAACGGTTGCAAAATAATCATTGTTCTCAACTTTAAGGGAGTTAGAGTAAATGTTACACAGTCTAGAAACTGTCAAGATGAGAGTCAAGCATACGATTATTTCTGTACAGATTATTTACGACATTGTTTTTGATGAGTGCAGAGATTGTAATATACTACAAGAAAGTAGCTAGACACGTCATTCTAACATTGTGAACAATATGGGATGATGAACTGCTTCCCAGTATTTAAAGTTAATAAATATGGGTGACAAATAGCACAAGTAATCACTTGTTCGAATCGCACGGTTCCGTGTCTTCGACCTATAGGCCTCTACACGATACCGTGCGGGACCGCATAGGCTAATTGCGTATCTTAAGCAGTGAGATCTGATTGGGCGCGCCTCAAAACAAGGCGCCCAATCAGCTTGGACGTACCAAATTATAAAACAAAATTCCATTTCCTGTTTTTGTCGCTATGAAGACATCCTTCCCACATAAAACTGCGTTACAGTTTGGTACCAAATATTCAAATTATAAACATTCATTCTCATTTTAATTTAGCAGGGTAATTATGATGGTTCAAATGCACGCTGACAGTTATTGAATTCAATGAGGGCAGTAATCAGTCATCAAAGCATTGTGATTGGTGTTTTCAATCACTGGATATTCATATAGGTTTATTAACGTTTTAAGAAAAAAACTACGTTGCCCAAATGAAATTTACTGAATGAAGTTTGTTTTATTAAAGCGAACCTAAATGCGGCCTTAATTTATAGTTGTGTATATTCTAAACTGTATTCGAAATAATATTGCAGTGGTTTAATTTTGTTTTAATTATAACTGTAGCTTGAATAGACATTTGAAGTGCTTGCCATGGAGGCCATTCATGGAAGGGAATAAATAACAAATGAACATATTTAACATCCGGGTACTTTTCAAAGTTATGACGTTTTAGTATCTGATCATATTCGTATACGCCATTGTACATAGCCGTTCATGCTGCCAAGCATTGTGTACTACTAGTATAAACTTAACTTTTATATGCACAATGTGCTTTTCAGAACTTTGGTTAGAACATTACACGTTTGAACCACAGTATTCTGACAGTGAAAGCCCAATTGTGTTAAAGCATCGTACTTTCCCGATCGTGAAGCCCATCCCGAGTATGAAGCCCATCCCTCTATTTTTAGGCATTTATCGAGTTGAGGGCATTCACAATTGTAAGCCCAGAGGACGATATTTTTTAAAATATGCATGTAAAAAGTGTGTTTCATTTCATAATAATTGGTATTGATACGATAGTTTGGTTTGTACTTTATGAGAAAACTCGCATTGATTTCAGAGTGCATGGCGAAAGTACACAACATGGTTTGCATCCTTTCTATTCTGTCATTTACTCAGGATGAACCTCTATGTTGCAATTCTGGAGTAATCCATATTACTTTGAGTAGCAGCTTTTGGACCCACAATGCATTTCAACTTGACTCGGACTGACAGTCATGGCGGAATACTTATTCAAAGTAGAGTTTGTTTATTATCGGGATACAAAAATTATACCAATATATATCACAAGCTGAGTTTCATAGTGGTGACTTTGATTACAACAGTTTTATCGACCGCCTCACTAGCGAGACACCATTTTTACAACGAATGAACGCACTTCGCGTTCAAATTATTGACGAAGAAAATCCGAAATTGGATTTATCGACAAACCATCGATTCAAACAGTTGGTCATCGGCAATCTTTGTTCAACTACATCAGGAGGCATAATAAAGACAAAACTATTCATTCTGGATGGGTCATCACCTATGATGAAACAGAATGAAAACCAACCGTGTGACCGACTGCCGGCTTATCTACTGAAGCTGGTAAAATATCAAAGCGGATAAAACCAGACTTTCACTTGGACACACGCACGGTTGCTAGATCCGCTATGGACTCAGACAATTTTTTCCATATATTATACGCAGTAGATTTCGTCACACCAAGCCTTTTCGCTATGTCAGCAAATGATATTCCTTCTAAATACAGCTCAACTATCTTTTCGCGAATCGCAGGTTGAGTCGGGAATCCCTGTTTACTGCGCTGTGAATGTGACAGACAGTCAACAAGTGCGTGATTGGATAGTGGAGCGGCGACTTGAAGTCTGGGTGCATCGCGAATGTATCAAAACAACATCAACAACATTGGAAGCAATTGCTGTACATTTACCGACAATGTTGATAATAACTTGCTGTAGTGTAGCAATATTTAGTTAAACATAATCGTTCAAAGAATGACTGAAACGATAGTTATAAATACAAACACCAAATTAGGTTCTATTTAGTTTCGCTTTAACTAGAGTAATGTTAATTGTATTTCTGGGTTTGTAAATTATACAAGTAGTTGTATTTTTCGCAGACATTATAATAATCACCTGTTCCAGATTAGTAGTAGAGGGGACTGTAGATAAATAGTTTGTTTTGTTTCATTAAATATTGTTATTTATTCTATATGCTTACCTTTCTCATCTTTTGTTTCCAGTGCTGCCATGGAGATATGGAACGACTCTTCAACAGTCTGGGTGTAATGTTTGCCATCATCGATGGTTATTCCTAGAAAATAGTAAATATGAACGTTATACGACATCCAATCAAGTGTGGCCATTAGTCCCTGAAAATGGCATCTGATTTAGAAGTATATTTCATTACTTGCTATTGACTAGTGACACATCACAAGTTTTCACCTGTCATTTTGAAAATATAAATGACTTTAAAAAGCCACAAAAATTTTCAAGGAGTTGTTTATAAATTTGAATGAACACCTCGCATTAGTGGAAAAAACAGTTGCGATAGAAATCTCCAACAATTGGTTTGACCTTTGACTCAACGATACACCCAATTCGACGATACTATTCAAAATATGTTTTGTGAACGATTAATAATTTGAAACATTTTAATTATAACTGATCGGATCTATGTTCTGCATAAATTAGCAATGAATGGTTGAAAGAATAATCATAAGTAATGGCTGTTTATACCAAGACCTATGTAGCCAATAGCAATTGTGTTATGCTTTTAATGTAGAATGCTTCACGAATATTTCATTAATTGCCATCAATAACATTCACACCTTTTTGAATCTTGTTGTAATCTGTATGATTTATATTTTATTTGCTCTGTTACTAGTATACATGTAAATAAAAGGAAAGCTGCTCTACCCATACGATTTTTAGCAAAAATAGATAAATTTTCTGATCAGATTCTTGCTCATGAGAAATTCTTATTGACAATATTACAAAATAATTCTATTCAAAATCCACTACTAATAAATTTCTGAACACAATGCAGTAAGAATCTTATGGTCAAAACAAGTCAGTTCTTCTCCTGAAAGAGCAAATACAGTATTCACAATTTATAAATATTTTAAAAATATGGATGTTCTATTTAAATACCTTTTAACTGAAACATCAATACCTCGCAAAAAAACAATATTTGGGGAAGGGGGGGTACATTTTATAGTTATAAATATACCATGCATGTATACTACAGAAATATACAATAAAGAAAATGTCGTGTATTTTATACTCAAGTATAGAACATGTGTGTAAAAACACCTCAAGCAATGAAACCTACACACCAATAAACTGTCGTATATGTACTGTCTTTAAAAGATGTTGACTGGCGCGGCAGAGAGAAGCAAGCTACACTCACGCAAAACAGGCAGGCACAGGCGAATTGATCGTAAACACAATAAAAGTGGAATAGTCAATTAAATAACGTCTGTGTTGATGCCTTGTAGTCCAGGTACACGTGTATTCTATCGAATATTTTGACATTTAACTTTAAAAGTCCTTACCCCAAAACATGTCGAAAAGAGATCCGTTTCGGTACGGTGTCCAACAGAAACCTTTGTTCTTCCCTATTGAAATCAAGCCCTTATAATTGTACACAGACAAGGTAGACAAGGATTTGGAGCAGTGGAGATTGTAGAGAACTACTACACATGGCCACTCTTTCAACCCCAGTTGCGCACAAAGAGGGTGACAGTTTGTCGTAAATGGGAGTCGTAAACGTTTGAGGGCGCTAGACACTAACGTGAGATCTGCAATCAGAAACCCTTGTGATGCATGATGGCATACTCTATTACAGCGTTTGATTTTCTAAGGATTAAGAAAATTGAAGAGAAAGTCCCCGTACAGATTAACAAAGAAGATAGTAATAAAGTAAGTATGTACTAGTTACTTAAATAATTTCATTGTGAGCATTATTTGATTAATTCTAAAAATAAAAAAAATATGTGAGTTTCTGTCCACATACACCTCGAATACAGCGCGTCTTTTCGATTTGGCAGTAACCACGTGACTTTCGGGGTCGACACGGACTGTGTTCTACAGAACAAACCACTCATAGTGCACGGTGTTTTGTGCAAAATGGCAAAAGAAAATGCAATGAATCGTAAGTTAAGCCATCATATAGAAATATAGCCATGTCTGCTATTTTGTGTGTTGTGTAGTATTTTCACCGAATAAAATTATAGAAATGCAGTATTCCACGTTAAATGTGTCATCTCTATTCAGATTTATGTTGTGTATTTTTACACGTCACTGGAACACATCAACTTAAAATGTCTGAGTATCGGCTGACCAGTATATTAAACCCCAAAACACAATTCTTACCACCCTCGTTCGACTGAGAATCCAAAATAGAAACTATTTATTCATATAATCTGTTATTTTTCCGGGAAAATATGTTTTTGTTCAACATCCTGTTTTATAACAGTTTCAGTTCAGATCATGGTTCAGATTTGTTTATTTATGCCATAACTTTCAAAACTTCTTAATTATCTAGTACATTTGTTTTTAACATCATGATTCGCCTTTTTGAGCATTCCTGTCACAGTATTTTTCACTCAGTCTCGGATAGTTAAAAGGCCGCGCGTGCACAGTCGCTATGTAGTCAAACCATGTATGCAGATTATTATGGTTTTATTAACTTTGCACATCGATTTTTCCTCTTATTTTCCATTCGTTTGGGAGATGAAGAAAGATTTGTTAAACCATATAAAACTAAATATATTTGTATAATCAAAATATACTTGTATTTGTCTGCGCCTGAGTTCGTCGGCGAGGGCGCGGTATACCACCCAGGAAAGGCTCAAAGACTCTTAACACGTGGATTCTTAAAAACAATATTTACAACTTTTGGCAAAATAGAGAGTTGCAAAAATGTAGCTAAGATATTTTAACTATTTGTCTCTAGTATTGTTAAGGGTTTTAACTTGCAGGGAGAATGGATTTGCCGAGATGTACAAGTACATTGAGTAAAATATAACTTAATCTTAATAAACAAGGCACAACTTTGTATATCTTCATAAACCGATTGTAAAATACTATGGAGCATAATAAACAACAAAAATCCAAAGATTGAAGTGTCGTACATTGAAGAGGACGAGTATTTTAGTTATTTTAAAAGGTTGCTTAGTTACGATGATGATAGTTTAGATGGAAGTGGAAAATGGGCATGGGAGGAAATATGTACTAGAATATCGATAACCGCAGTCACACACAACTATTACAATAAATGAAATTGATAGTTATCTAAGATGTACGAGCAATGGTAAAGTCAACGGGATAGTATATTAATGGAATTCCATCGAAAATATCTTGCCTCATCGGCTTGTCTTAATATAGACATGGCGCTGATTTTTTTTTTTTAAATAACATCATAATATTGTGTTTTTTTTCTTATGGGTTCGGGAGACCTGAGAAAAATCAGGGGATGGGAAATGAAGCTGTGAGTATGTAAGGGAGATGTATGCAGTATGATGTATGTATGCAGGGACACAGAGGGATAATAGTGGTCCAGTGACGTAGAACAGTTATACGCTGTTTAACCAACACGGTGCCATGGAACGATATTTATTGAAAGCAGATAAAGTGTACTTGGCATTGTAATGCTGAGATTTGGGATCTCAGCTCATAACCTGTCTATTATAACAATGCAAAATGTTGAAATAATTTCAGTTTAAAGGGCGACAGTCGTCGTGCCGCGTCCTGTTCGACATGGGACTCATAGCGACGTATACAACGCGTGTAAAATCCATTGTTTATTTACATGAAATTCGAACACGCATTGCGCGACGACCACCGCGCTTTAATCAATCAATCAATCAATCATTCATTGATAAGTTGGTTGTGGGTTTTGAAATTTGTTTTATTACATTATTGCCATTACATGAATGTCTGCCAAAAAATTGGGATCACCGAGTGTGTTGGCAAACAAGGCATTAATCCCCTCAAATTTATTTTCATAATGCAAATAATAAAGTACACCATGTGACAAGTGTATCGCCATTGTATTGTCATTAATCTACATTCTTCTAGTATACTTCCTTCTGATTTTTAAAATTAAAATTTTGAAACACCAAAATATACTTCTCCACCGGCTTATATTCGCCCTGCCAGTCTTGACTTGCGCCCTCTTTTGATACATAGTGTTGTAGAACGATCTTAAACTTGTGGATTTAAGAGGGCGCAGTCCTAATATCAAAACATCTCGAGAAAGGACATATTGAGTATTTTTATTTATAATCTTTGCTATTAAAGAGATAGTGAGGAAAATTGGGATTTTTTTTTTATTATGTTTAATTCATTTTGACAGATACTGTATATTGACAAAACACTATGAAATAAAAATGTCATTTAAAAGTAATAGTTGTTCGATGAAATATTGAAAAACTTTAATACGCATGCGTCTTTGATTTTCCTGTACTTACATGTAATTAAAGACCCGCGTAATTTATGGAAGGGAGTTACTGTAAACTGGTTAATTATTCACTGGGTTTCAATTTTGCATATTTCGCTGATTGGAAAATGCGCTAAATTAAAAACCAGTGAATATGTAAAATTGAGCATAGAACATATTATCTAAATGATAAAACCGTGAATTGAAAACCCACTGAATATGCCTGAAATGCTAAATCAGTGAAATTTAAACCCAGTGAAAATTAGTCACTTTACAGTATTCAGTACTAACTGATACGTTGGAAATGCACTCTCGGATCTATGTATGGGCACCGTTGCCAACGAACTGGCAAAGATTTCCAGACAAATTATTAAATAATTATTAGTGATGTAGGAGAATATTTCATATATTATTCTCAATCTGGGTAGGACCCGGTCACTGTCATACTATTAATTTCAGATACCCTTCAGACACCGGGCCATCTGCCGGCATTCCCCTACCGAAGGTGGACGTGATTAGAGCGCCCTCATTAGTTTTTATCTTAGAGTTGAGTGCAGTTGACGGTCAACACATTCTGTGGCTTCCTGTTACTGCATTGTATTATTTATTATAATAAATGTGTGCGTAATTTCGGAACTAAAGACATCACAAAATTTAAACTATCTTTAGTTGTCTGAGTAAGATGACCTTGAAGCAGCGCTCCTAGCTCCCACCCATCGGTGGAATGGCAAATCGTGAAAGTGTTAGTTGAAAGGAACAATAAAAAACGTCCTTATCTTTGTTTGGGTGTACAGATTATTTATTTTGCCTTGTTACTGTGGAGGACCCTTACTCGCGTATATGAAAGGAACCCCTGCAGTTTTGATCGACAATTCAGTCTTTCATACTGCCTTTGCTTTTCACGTCATTTGAACAATTCTTTTTAAAGCATTAATTATTTCGATAACGGTAAAAAAAAAACACGCCGAGTGTGAGGGCTTATGACAGATGTGCTCGTCTGTGAGCAGCTGCTAGACAAGTTCATTGGTGTCCCGTGACACGAAGCCTGTCTCCTCCGACGCTACCAGATTTCTCAGAGAAGTATTCATTCACACGCAACCAGCAGCGTCCGGGCAAGTTCTGACCTATGCCATTTCCTGTGTGTATACAATTGGAACATCCCGAATTGGACAGCAAAAGAAACAATGCCCAACTCAGTCAGAGGTATCCGGAGCACGATAGTGAATGCTCATCCAACCCACCTCACGGCGGAGAATCGCTTGTATCGCAAACGCACGATAGACGGTCGTTTGGGCCCGAACATTTTAAAGTGATTTTCAATAATGTATTTATGAGTGTTTTTAACAAAATTGTTACGTGGGAGGCAGAGTCAGAATTAACATGAACAACTCATAATTTTAATTCATGTGTACCGATGTTAAAATCTCCATACTATGTTATAAGCACGGCATATTTATTTGCTAATACTTACAAGCAATACATTATGACATTTAGAGTTAGTTAGCGAACGAATATAACTACATGTATGTCGTGCTTGTAACATAGGAAACTAAATTCGTACGAAAAGACGCCTTCGGCCGAAACGCCCGCGACCGAAACGTCCGCCATTCCAACTCACAGAAGCAGCTCATAGTTATCGGCACTCCTGTATCACCTTTACGAGAAAATCGTGATTTTTTTTTTGCATACTTATTTCTGCAATTAGACTTTGTATAAATCAAACGTTTATTTTTCTCAAATATGCTTCTATATTTTTCGATTGTTAGGTTTGTTTATGCATTTACAGTCCCCAATAAATTCACCAAGCTATATTTATTATCGTGGTGGATGATGGGATAATTTGCCGACTTCTGATGGGTCATGTGACAGGGCAGCAAATGTTGCTGTGTTTCTTAGTTTGGTCATTTTGATCTTTCATAAGGTCAAGACATTTGTTGAAAAATCTTAGATCCAATGGTGTACTTGGTACATGTACAATTACTACATCAATTTCGGTGCAGACTAGCCAGTCTAAACTCAACTCTGTCTCGTGAGAGTAGCGTGTACACGTCAGCCGGTCGCCAGATAGAAGAGGGAATACAAACCAAAACAAAATTAGCAATTATATGTTTTATAATTAATAATCAATTTATTTTAATACATATTATATAATTTACGGAAACAATTACTACATATCATTTATATAAAGTAGACCTGGAAGGGTAGTAATAAACAAATCAAACAGAATGTTGGTGGCAGGTCATATCACGCGTAGTTTTAGAAATTCACAAATATCAATTGATTATATTTCATATAAATAATAAAAGCACACAAATTAAACTGATGAAGTAGAGCGGGTAGAATATGAATGATTCAATGTAACGACTGTAAATAATTGTACAACGGTTTGGCCGTTACTCCATGCATTTAAACTGAAAATACACTCAAATTTACAAAAAAAAAAAACAAGTTAAAACACTCTCAAATATTGCAATTCTTGGGACATAATCACACACAATGCATGCATCGCCGTAGCTGTGCAATAAAGACAAATCTTGTAAATAACAATTTGAATGAATAGATGAACAGTCATTAACAGTGCAGTTAACCGATCACATTGGTTGGCAATCTGGAAAGCGTATCTTGCCAAGAAGGTAATTGTGAGTTCGAACCAAATAAATCAGTTTGGGATGACGTCAAACCAGTATTACTTGGTGCTGAAATGCTTGCAGTGCGCGTCGTAAATGGTGCGTATAACGGGTGAGGGAATGCGTCGTTTCGTTGCAAGAAGTTGTCAACATTGAAGAGTCCCCTTGGCAGCATGGACGGTGATGGATACGACATTGGTACGAATGCGTTGCACGAGGCCGATATACTATAGTATGGGTCTGGTGCCGACATTGATAGGTAACCGCTATATCCATACGATGTCCGCATCGCAATAAGCTCTTCGTCCCGGTGGCATTTGCGAACTCTGCGTCTAGCTCTGCGACGACGAAAATCTCCCTTTGCGAAGTCCTCCTCACATGCTGCGTGGATAGACCAGTAGTTCCCTTTCCCGTTGTCACTTCGGCCATTCTTAATAAAACATTCGTTCAGAGATAAATTGTGACGAACGCTGTTTCTCCAACTCTTTTCCTTGTTTCGATAGTACGGAAAGTTGTTCATTATGTATTTGTAGATCTCCGAAAGCAGCATCTTTCTCTCTGAAGTGCTCAGTATCGCCATAGAAATAAGAGCAATGTAAGAATGGGTAGGTTTGCTGCTCTGGTTACTATCTGAATTGGTCTGTTTTCTACTGCTGCTAGTGAAAACTTCTGACGAGTTTGGCTTACTTTTACTCCTATCCAATGACAACAACACCCTGGCAATATTTTCTGAATTGTCGAAAAGATCTTCTGTATCTTTTTCCTCTGTCACCACATGGTTAAACTCCGACGCTGGCAAACTGTTCTTCTTCAAACAAAAATCCGACGTTATCAGATCTCCCATATCTTCGATGTTTTCGAACATTTTTCTGTGTTGCGGATGAAGTGGGGTGTAGGAACCAATAAGAGTGATATCTCAGAATCCGAGATGTAGCTTGGCGGCTAGTATGTGATGGAATTTAATGCAAGTTCTGTTTTATAGCTTACTTGAGATTGGAAAGTGTCGTTCGCATAAATGTGTGTCCCACACATCTTTCATTTCTAATCTCTGTCACTTACGTTTTGTAAAAGATCGTGATACTATGGGCATTCATAGTGATGCAAACAGAACATAACGACAAGTTGGCGTTATACACTCCCCCCAGTTGACATGATGTATGGAAATAGACTAATTGATTGACCACGGTTACCTCCCAACACGAACAATCACATTGCACTTGCTTCATTCAATAGGATGCCAGTGTGCTCGTTTTCTGCATTGTCTGTACTAAGTGGTTTCACTACACTGATGTTTGATTGACGTAACAGTCAGCGGGCTGTCTGACATCCATCACAATACCTCTAGATTATCTTCAGAACAATAGTCCTTTGTTCCATTGACTCGACCCACTCCCACTTGCGAGCAGATTGGACCTCCCATAAACAAACACTATGTAACGAAACAACTGGTAAAAAAAATATTCGCCACATACTGAGACTTTTATCTCCCAAGCCCAGGCAGGCATTTTAGACAGTCTGTTAATATATTGATAAAATAAATCAGTTTATTTAATAAAATATATTCCGGTCTCAAGAACAACGATTATCTCACCCACAAACAATTTCTTTCCTGAACGATTGGACTAAATAATTTTGCTCCCCTTCCGAGTCACCAATTGTTTGTGGGAGGGGACATGGGCGGAGAGTCGTAACTGATTAACTAACAAAACCGAACACTATTTATGGTGACTAATACAAGCAGCACAACATAAGAATATTTCAACCATATAACTCTTGAATTTAGGTTGAAACATACAACAATATGTATTCTTATCACGAGAGGAGGTAAGGCCACAAATAATGGCCGGTTAAAACACTACCTCCTAGGTCGGAGGTACTTATGGCGTTTTGTGTTTTAAAGTTTACGGACAACATTCAGTGACGGCATGGAGGTAAAAAGGGAATTTTTAACTCCATGGTGACGGCTAGATGTTGCTTTACTTCCCCACAAGTGGTACTCTGATAGCTTATTTCCATTACTTTCATCATTTTAATCATCGTATTACTATTACCACTAATAGTATAAGTTTAATTGTATGTGGGGTTCTAAGAAGAAACGTGTATGTGAACATAGTTACATCGCATGCAATTGCGTTTGATATATACTAGATATGGTTTCGTTGAATGTAATGTATTATAGCGCCCTCTATCGCGTTGTCTTATTTTTTTTTGCGCCCCGGTCGTGATCTATGCTCCTTTCTAAAGTCAGTTTTTACGCTATTTTTGCCTTTTGTATTGTTATTTTAAACATTGTATCGTCAAATTGACGACATCTATGCGTTGCTCTGTGTCACCTCGTATACGTTCTATATTTGGCTCATTTATTTTTTGTATATTTACCATGTTCTATAACCTTTTTTTATTATTTTAATGAAAGTACAGATATGAATATTTGGCTCTTTCATCCGTCGTAACACCGAGCGTACCATTCAAAATTGAACTTCAATATTTGTTCAAGTAATAGATAAATTGACATCATTCAGACCATTCCGTTAACATTTGGCGTGCTTGCTTGGAATTTAAAAAGAAGTGTTTGGAAAGGTACCTTCCCTGGTGTCAAGTACACAATTTCGGGAAATTTCTCAAAAAACACTGTTTATATTTATACCTTTATTGAAAACGCATGCATGGCTGTGATAGTCGGTGTTATTCCATTTTACCACTCGAACACGTTAAAACGCAACAAAACGTGCTCTCCGTTTCTGAGCGGTCATCGACCTTTCCTCGTACGAAAATTGAAAGCATGTCGTAGAGGGCGCTCACTCGGGGGGTGGGGTGGGTAGAAAGTGGTTGATTTTTTTTAAACATTTCCCAAAGATGTAGCATAACTGAGATCATGTGATAGAGATCGAACTTCTCTTAATATGACTCCCCGAACTGGTATTGTCTTTTCGTCAGTATCGTACTTACGATAGAAACTTCAGTGCAGCATTAACAAAGTAGTTGTTTACTAGTATGCACACAAATGTGTGCTCGGCTTTCTTCCATCGTAGCTCGGTTCGCAATGCTAACTTATTGAACTACACGTAAAATAAAACCAAGACAAGCACACATGCGTCACCAGTTTCACTTTTTTTATGTTTAATAATACAAACAGCTGTTACTCACCGCCCGCTGACACATAATTCTGGCTACAATATCACTTGTATTGTCGCCATTGTACTGCCTTAACATCGCGTGATGGGCCTTTGCACGAAAAAGAAATCATTCATGTTTTTGTGTTTACGTATTCGACTTATACAAAAAAAAAACATTCTGCTCGATGCAATTGTTTGTTTTACAATGTCTCAATACACAATTGTGGAAATGTCTCGTTTTTTCCGGACAAATATATTGCCATAGTTACTCTCTTCACAGCGTAAAACGCAATAATTATAGGTATCAAATTAATGTGTGCTTTCACCCACAAGTGTAATGGTACATTCCAAGAAATCAAGGACACCATATGCGACGAGATCAGAAACATTTTGTTGTAATTCATTGAATTGTCCGGTTATATTCCCTTTGTTTATTTCATGTTTATTTCCCGCCCATATCTGATTTCTATTTAATCACAGCCGAAGGTAATCTTGTCGGTTGTCACGTTCACTCGTTAATGGGAAACCTACTCATCATTGTAGTAAAAACTGTATCCTAACAAATGTTATAATTGTACGTCATTCATCGAACGTTTGTTGGTGGCATCTGACGCCCCATATAAATATGTATTGGAAACAGTTTTACAAATATTCTATCGCTCTTCCAATCTGTAAAGGAAACAATTATTCGGGTTTTTTTTTACAAACACGACCTTCAGGTAATGTTTTGTGACAGTACTAACCTTCATAACTACCGGTCGATGAGTTAATAACAAAGTGTCTATTCAGTATCGAAACGCATATTGAGGCATGTTCTGGATACTGCTGCGAGTTTAGTATCTTTCAAAATATCATAAATGCACGGGAGAGACATTATAAATAAATAAATAAATAAATAAATAAATAAATAAATAAATAAATAAATAAATAAATAAATAAATAAATAAATAAATAAATAAATAAATAAATAAATAAATAAATAAATAAATAAATAAATAAATAAATAAATAAATAAATAAATAAATAAATAAATAAATAAATAAATATCTGTTTTTAAACTCTCTCTCCCTGTTTCCATTTACTTGTTACTGTAAGTCTCTATGTATACGTAATCATGGTAATACTGATAAAAGCAGCTACTCCATACTTATATATTTGTATAAAACCGGATAAAGACGATTAGTTTACCGCAATTGTTTGACAACGATGTATGTGTTACATCGATGACATTTTCTGTTTGTTATATGAAAACGTGTCAATGAAAGTGTGAGAAAAGTTACATAATTATAATTAAACTGGATACGAATTAAATGTTTGTCTTTTGTGTCCATTCAACCATATCTAGAGGTGCAAACACATATTAATCACTTTTATTCAACGCATATTTTATACATCAACTACAATCAGCCAGTAAGGGTTATCAATGACAGAGATCGAGTAGGAATGGCCCGCTATCACATCGTGACACATAGTGCATGATGTACACAAACATAAGGAAATTAAACATATTTCAGATTTTTTTGAAATTACAGTCATCATCTGGCGATATAACCATGATCCACGAAAGAATATTTCCATTCACATGGTAAAATATGTCAAACTAGCCTGAGTTACAGTCTTTTTAATAAGCAAACTATAATATTCATTCAGGATCCAGACACATAGTCCACATGCCGATAACAAATTGGACTCAAGTCATTGAAGTACACTTCAGCCAATGAGACTAGCAGAAAAAACAGAGCTAAAAGAGTGGGTGAATGCTATAAACGACTGAAGTCTGTATTTAAATATACCAATACACTCAAGTGTGGTTCTGATCACAATGAAAAATTTTCTAACAATGACGGTATGTAATATTTTATTTGTTAGTAATACATATTATTGTGAATGTTTTTAAAAAAAATAAGAAAAGGAGATTTCCCTTTCTCGCCACATTAAAAAACTGGAATACTAACAATGCTACTATTTACAAAAAAAACAAAAAAACAACGTTTACCAACAATACTGATCCAAAGACATTCAGGACATATTCGTATCAAGGGGAAAAAGAATGACTTGTTCAGTTTATATTAGATACGAAAATCCCATAAAACACAAAACAAAGCTAAATCAATGACCACGCCATCCAAATATTCAACACAGATTTTTTGTCCAAAAGTTTAAAATCTGTTTTATACTAAAAAAACACCGTGACGTCATCTTTTCTAAAAGTGTTATAAATCATAGCGACATAATCATAATGATAAATTATCTTCGTTTCGTAGATTAGCAGATAATTGCTATCTATTCGTATGTAAATTATTCACAGGTGCGATTCCACCTGTTCTGATTGGTTATTGGCTAAATAGCCAGGTGCTCATGGGTATATAGTAAGAAAAGTATTCTATTGTACTCAGTCTCGGTTGCAAACAACTCACGGTGTATTTTTTTTTTATATTTATATATTTCCTTTTTCTTAATATAGTTTTTTCCTGGGCGGTCGATGTATTCGCGATGGGGCTTTGCCATCAATTAATTATTTTGTATATATTTACATATGCAACGATAATACCTGTAATAAACGCGCGTGGCCTCTGGGCACTGCAACCACTGCATTTCATGCTTGTTGTGTAGTTTGTACGAATAATTAAAGTTGAGTATAGATCATCATACCTTGTCGGTCAGTTCATCACTCAGTCATGGTTCACATATCGAATTCAACACTGGAACCACGATCACTCTCATGCGAGACTTCAATTAACACTTTTGATTTGTTCACGTTGTATACCAGAATACCGAATGATAAATTTAAGTAACAATATATATATATCAAACATTATACATGGTTATCGGCGTTACTATAA